CTAGCATTATAGTTCTTTCCTTTACCATTTTCCTCCAAGTTTTCCTGTCCTCAGCTATTTCTTCCCAGATGTTAACATCTAATCCAAGCTTAGATAAGCTGTTTTTGCAGGTGCTTTTGTACCTCAATTTTGGTCTTCCTCTTGGTCTCTTTCCCAGGGCAAGTTCTCCATAGAGAAGTTGCTTCGGACTCCGGTTGTCGTCCATTCTCTAGACATTGCTCAGCCATCTCAATCTATTTAAACACAGGATAGTTGTCATGCTCTGGAGGTTTGCCCGTGCCAACACTTCTACATGAATTGTAACCTTGTCCCCCCACGAAATGCCTAAGATCTTGCGGCAGCATCTGAGATGGAAAATGTCGAGGCGCTTTTCTTGTCTGTAGTACAAGGTCCATGTTTCAGATCCATAAAGGAGTGTGCTAAGGACACATGAATACTAGCACCTGTGGTAAAACACAATAAAGTGATGGGTGTTACAACTAGACATGCACACAAAATTAATAGATTTTAAACGATACTGAATGTGTAACGATCGACTGCACTACACAAATTAGTAGTAGGACAAAGAAAAAAGATGTTTACAACTTTTCAGAAAGTAATTCCACTTCGACAGGATTTTGCTGGAAAGAAAAAAAAACCTAAAAAGCTCACAACAGTAAGAAAACACAATTATGTAGTCCTATTGGGTTATAGATCTATAACTAGGAAAGAAAAAAATAAAGATTATAACGAATACAAAAACGATAAAGACTAACCTTACAAATGACTCAAAACAGTAAGAGGACAAAGAAATTTTTTAAAAAAATGCTTCCAGCTTTTCAGAACACATCAGTTAGGTTTAGATTGAGTTATGCAGGAAAAAAGAAGCCTAAACATTGCACAATGAAGTGTGGTTTATACAACTACACAAGCATACAATTTATAAGATCATAGCAATACAAAAAATGTAACGATCAACCACACAAATTGCTCAGAACAGTAGGAGGACAAAGAAATAAAGATGTTTGTAGCTTTTCAGAGCCCACTTAGATTTGGATTGAGTTTTGAAGGGCAAAATATCCTAAAAATTGATAGCACCAGTAATAAAACACAACAATACGTTGGTTTTTAAAACTAGGCAAGCATACAAATTTATATATTATAAGGAATTCAATACATATAACACCCAACCGAACAAGTTATTCAAGACAGTAGGAGGACAAAGAAATAGAGATGCATTCAGCTTTTCAGAACACATATTTGTTAGGCATCGTGGTGAAATCAGGCGCTCGTCAAAATAATGAAATTGAAGAAACTGGCATTTTTTTTCTCCAGTTGGGCAATTTTTTCCAACGCACAAGTTACTCAAAACGATACGGAGTCAAAGAAATGTAGATGATTTCAGCATTTCAAAACACATTTAGGTTTGGATTTAGTTTTTCCAGGCAAAGAAGCCTAAAGATTTCTTGCACCTGTAATAACAAACACAATATTATTGTCTTACTATTTACAACTTTTCAAGGACAAAAAAAGAATAGATTATAACCAAAACTAAAAGTGTAACGACCGACAGCATAATGGAACAGTTTTTTTAGAACACATTTAGGTTTGGATTGAGATTTGCTGTGGAAAGAGGCATCTATACTAAATATATTTGTAAAAGCTCGTCACTTTGGCCGCCTAAAACTTCAGAACCACTTGACTTTCGAATTTGAAAAAAAATAACGGTGGTTCAGAATCATTTAAAGGGTGCACACTTTTACTTGGGAGTCTGAAGTCACTGTAGTTTAATTTTCAGTTTTTCATTAGTTTCGTTTAGATCTAATCTTGGGAAAGTCCGTCTTCTAAGACGGCTTTGAAAACAAGTGAGGCTTCCATTCACAAAGAGTGCGAGCACTGATCATACAATGACTTGACGATCTATTCCTTCTAGTCCGTTCATCGAAAAGGAAACCCTGCTAGTATATTATAATATGCTAACACCTGTGGTAAAACACAATAATGTGTCGGTTTATACAACAAGGCAAGAAAAAAAAGTCAAAGATTGTAACAAATACTCAAAGTATTCCGACCGACCGCAAAAGTTGCTCAAATCAGTAGGAGGACAAAGAAATAAAGATGCTTCCTGCTTTTCATAACACGATATTATGTAGGCGTGGAATGACTTTTGCTGGGCAAAGAGGTCTAAAAATTACTAGTACCTGTTAAAAAAACCCACAGTAATGGGTTGTTATCTCCAACTACGCAAGCACAAAAGTGAATAGATTTTAACCAATGTAAGAGAACAACGAAATAAAGATACTTCTTGCTTTTCAGAAGATACAGGCTTGGATTGAGATTCGCAGGGCATAGAAGCTTAACATTTGCGATCACCTGTTATAAAACACAGTAATGTGTTGTCATTCACATCTCGGAAAGCGCAAAAGTGATTTGATTATAACCAATACTAAAAATATAACGGCCTACCGCACAAGTTACTCAAAACAGTAGAGGGGGGGGGGGGGGGGGGGTCAAAGAAATA